TGGATATAAGAATGATATCTTTTTCAACAACTGAACTATTAAGAAAATTTAATATTGATTTTATTTAATGTACAACTGTTGATCCAATTATTAATATTAGTACACAATTAATATTGATAAATAATAAATAAGAATGTTATTATTATGTGTTATATGTTATTTGCCAATTAAAATACTGCATGCAAATAATTTCTTTCAATTGCATGTATTTGGAAACGTGCTAAATTTCTAGGCGGCTTAACGATTCTCGAATTCAATATGACGAAATCAGCGCCTCTCGCATTGCAGGACGAGTCTCGTCTCGCTCGCGTAAAGCGCGTTCTGGCCGGTTCGCTGCTGGGCCGCGGCGCGGGCACCAGCAGGATCTTTGGCACTCGGCTGGAGCTAGTCGAGTCATACCACGACACGGGCGTACCGTACGTGGTGCATCGACTATGCAGTTACATCGAGACTCACGGTTTCCAGAGCGCGGCGGTGTTCCGTCTGTCGGGCGGCAATCCCCGACTGGCGGAGCGGTTGAGGGTGGCTTTTGAACGGCGGGGCGACGCCGATCTGGAAGCAGCCGGGTGCCCGCCGACCGCCGCGACCCTCCTTCGTCAGTACCTGAAGGAACTACCGCAGCCCGTCGTTCCCTCCACCGTTGTTGGCAGATTACTCAACCTACATGCTCGTAAGAGCTTTTATTCTATCCCTTTTTTAAAGATAATTTCGAATTTTATTTTTAAACAAGACTTTATTTTTGGAAACAATTGAAAATAGGACATTTAAACATTACTCTGAAATGGTTCAAAAATTAAACATTGTTGTAACATTTTAATATATTGAAAGAAAACTTTACTAATAAATTACTATTTTGATTTGAACCTACATCACCTCTCGTTTAATAGTTTTTGTAAAAATATTTTATGCGCAGAGAACTACGCGAACGATCATGATTCTTGGATCACGTCGACGAAGGAGTTGCTGTCGACTCTGCCGTCCTCACATTATCATCTGCTCGGGTACCTGGCGATTTATCTTAGCCGGTACGAGGCGCGACACGGACGCAGCGCCGGTGTCTGCGGTGTTTTCGCACCTGTCATCCTGCCTCACGTGCCGCCAGCGACTACCCTCCTGCGGGACATCCTTGCCGAGGCGTTAGTGTTGTTTCCCGATTGGTGAGTGATATATGATGATTCTTTTAGCATGATTATTCAAGAATACCTGCGAAAAAATGTAGGCATTTGCGTGAAGTTTGCGTAACACTTTGACAACAGATACGAGCGATATGTCTATTTGTGCTTCACTTATTTCGATCGTTAGTGTACTCTTCCTAATTTTAGAGCCATTAGAGCGCATACGATTAGTTCTACAAACGAGAAAAATAGTTATCAAGGTTGGTAAAAATGTACATAACTAAAACCGACGTGCATTGCGAAATAAAAATGGTAGAAATTTTATAAAGTTTAAATAAAACGTAAAATTTATTTTTTTAATTAAAAATTTTTTATTGAAATTTTTTCAAGTGTGAATTTTAATTAAAAATGGGAAACTTTTTTGTAAAATGTTATTTTTTTTTCATTAAATTTGTTTTGTAATTGAGAGACTGTCGAAAAAGCTTCGTATTTATGTGCAATCTATTGGAGAAATACATATAATTAGATAAGAGAAAAATAATGAAAAGCAAATAACGATACTAATTTGCACCAAGGAGTAATTTCGCGGGTATTCTTGAAATCATGAAAATAACTATTATTGGCGCGAAATTGCTGGCATGCCTAACTATTCATGCACTATTGAGCAACCTGCTAGCTATTATCCTTCAATCGATTATTCGCGGTTCCGTTTTTATGTAAAATTTATCAGCACGAAATCTTATGTAGCTTTTTATCTGCTTCATAAAAGGCAGAAAATCTAAGCCATAAAATTAAATTTCGCGTCTTAATTTCAAAATCGAACATAAAAACAACCTTGCAAAGTTTCTCATATTTGGATACCAAACTGTTTACTTTGGAAATTTTTATAATACATAATTCTTGCTTTTAACACTTTTTTAACACGCCGAGTTTGATTAAAATAGAAGTTAGAGATAAATTTATTATATCGCAAAGATTGAGAAAAATTTATTACATCGCTATATATAAAATTACTTTACTTTTTGAATATTTCTTCAACAAAAATTGCCGCGATTTACATTGCAATATTCACCTGTGCCGAATAAATCGGCCAAAGCAGCTGATTTTGTTGACTAAATCTGGAAATCCGATCCAGCCGACCTCGTGTTGCGGTAACCGCATTGTGAATTACGCAAGAGTAACGCATTTGAATGCACTAGACCGCCACAATAACGCTGTGGAATAAATTACAAAGCATGCTTTGCCACAAGCGCGTCGCAACCGCATCGAGCTTGCTCGCCTAAACTAAACGCTCGCTCGCATTTTGATTTTCCCACCGTATCCCGTCTCTGTAATACCATTCGCATTTCTAGCAATTATTCTTTTACCGTCCGGAGGACTTATCTATATTATCTCGATAAACAGTTTCTCTCGTCGAAATCACAAACGAAGCGGAATGTGCACGGACATCCGCCCGTGTTTAATTGGACTCTTCTACTTACACTCGAGAGAATCTTTCCCCCGACTGAGAGACGGTCGGTTATTATTTCTTAACCCGGGGAACTCTCCACCTCCGTCTCGATTGCTTCTCGACGACTTAGGCAGTCTCGATGGAGAAATTGAGTGCACTCGCAGTCTCATCTTTGCTGCATCTTTACGAGTACATTAAACAGATTGAAGGAAAAATCGATTCATCATTAAACCTAATATATCTTCGAACATTTTACATTACAAAATTGAATACATTGTGATGCATTTTTTTGGAATACATTATTCGTTAAAGAGAGAAAATAATTAAATTGAAATGAATTAAAAGGGGAACGTACAAATAAATCAGTAAATAAATTAGATAGGTAAATATTATCACGTTGTGCCTCGCACGTATATTGAATCGATGGATTCAATTCAATTCCCGCGCACGTACGGCGTATGCGAGAGAACCCGGATTCGCGTGCATATGAAGGGCTTCTCTTTCGGTTCCACGTACAAACGGGTACGGTTTCATCGCGCGTAAAAGCTTCTGAATCACGCAAAAAACATGTTAAGTCGCATCCGACGATCGATTCTGATCAAGCGGAAAGCTGAATATAGAAACTCATAGAAGAAGGTATCAAATTCGAAAAGCTTTTCGCGTTCGAAAATATTATTTGCATATGATATCAATTCCAGTTTCTTTTTAGGTGCACAAATGACTATATAACGACATATTAAAGCTAATTTCTAGAAATTTTTAATAAATATAAATAAATAATATAACAATAGATAATAATATGCACATTTTGCGAATGCGCATATTACGAATTGAATATGACATTGAATAAACTGCAATTATATGCGTTCAAAATTTTCCTATAAAGCGTTCAATGTGCATATTTAACGTACAGAGTACTGCTATTCAAACTTTCTTCATTTCAATGAAACTCTCGGCGGATTTTGTTTGAATTCGACGCACAAATTATTTCAGTGAAAATTAGATGGATTTCGTTTCAGATTATGAGTTATTTTCGGGCGTGTTTTATTACGCACACGCGTATAAATTAGCTCTTAAGCGGAAAAATCACGGGTGCAATCTACAAATTGCTGGTATTGGATTACAAGCATAGGCGCACGCGAGAATATCCACAACCTTTTCCGCAATTAATTTTGTCGTTGCGTCGTGTCATTGAGGCGGTGAGACACTTGGCTGTTAATAAAAATTCACGGTCCTTGGCCTTGTCGCGAAACCGTGCGCCATTGACGCGCGTACTTGAATTCATGCTTCATGCACTTCCTCTCTCTTTATTCGACTATATTTTTTAAAGAGTATATCATTTGTTGCACTTATTCAAGTGCAATTATACATATTTTTTTCTAATTTATCTTTTGCGATATTTTATCGATCAGAATTTTTAGCTCTTAATTATTAATATGTCGATAATACATTTATTAAGAATCAAGCATTAAACATATCTACTTCATGATAAATTTCAGAAGGTATTAAATCGCAAATGTCATATTATTAATATGTATCTATAAATTTGTAATTTATAAAAAAAAGCTATTTTGTACATTGTAATTTATAAGAACCAAAGCACGAGTGTCGGGGCGCAAAAAATGTACTAGAGTATTATTAATAATGATATAGATACAGAAACGTTTCAGCACAATTTTTGGGCCTTCTTCAGTTTCATAAAAATCGATAATAGTGATCACACATGACTCCTGTCGAGCTGCCCCCCCCCCCACCTTGCACAAATAAAAAAACCAATAGCGCAAAATTATAAGCTATTTATGAGCTTTCATATTCCGCAAATTAAAATTTTAGAGCTCGTCACGCTGAGCATGAATTTAATGTTTTTCGGGGGGGGGGGCTGAGTCGATATCGAAGTTGGAAAATAATTAATTTTTTTTATTTTAATTATAGTTTTTTCTTGTGTCGAGGAGATGTGGGGTGGTTTTTTTGTAAAGGGGTTGCATCTCAATAATCAAAATGCGCGTATTTTAAAAGTTTATTCTTGGAATTTTATACTACGTTTGGAATATAATGTATTTTTTCTTTTTTTAGTACTTCTCTCTTGAGTTCTATCGATTAAGGGTTGTTTGAGGACTAAGGGGGTGAGCTTAAAAATTGAAACTACATATATCAGTTCAAAAGCTTATAAATAGCTCTTAATTCTACCGCAAAGATTGATTCAATATTTTTATTTTTAAACGGTGGGGGAGGGGCTGAGTCGATATCGATTAAGGGTTGTTTGAGGACTAAGGGGGTGAGCTTAAAAATCGAAACTATATCAGTTCAAAAGCTCATAAATAGCTTATAATTTTGCGCTATTGGTTTTTTTATTTGTGCAAGGTGGGGGGGCCAGCTCAACAGGGGTTTGCACATGCGTAAACACGGTGTTTGAGCGTATGTGCAATTTTCAAAATAATTGTTTAATAGATAAATAATTATCTCAAAGTTGCTCTGCTAGCACCCGATGTCTTCCTGAGCCTCTCTCTTTTCTCAGTATGAAACACAATTTATAGACATTCACTCGCGAAAATCCGATTAATTATTATCGCGCGATATTTTATACGGCACTCCCGACGCGTGTTTTGTCATATTACAAAGATAATACTCGAATATCATCGCACGAAACTAGAATACGTTCGATACTCTGCAGAAAACAATGGAAGTAAAGGAGGGAGATCGACAAGATAAGTAATTAATTTTTGCACGCAAGTTGTCGCGGCTATGCTACGCTTAAACTACTTCACGTTTTGTATACTTTCTCTTTACTCGAAAAATACTATATAATCACGGCATTCAAAACATTTTAAGATCTCGTATTGTAATGTGCAAATATAAATATATACTAAAATTAAAATAAAGAATAAATAGCCGCAGAATAAAATATCTATTATTAAACGCGAAAGTTAATTAACAGAATAAGCTCTTAATCGGTAATTATTTATAAAAAATAATATTATCTCATCACGGTAGTAATTTTGAAGAATAATTATGACAAGGGAATAAATCGAGTTTAAATTCGATCTCAATATATATTCGATAAATGCTAAAATGTTAAGCGCCCGTTGGTCGGGTTTGGGGGGGATTGTTTTCGACGCGCTGTAGCTCATGCGCTCTATATTATCTCCTTTCTCTTTCTCTCGTATACTATTGAAACGCACATTGTTTTCTTCCCGAATTCTTTCAAATCGACGCGACCTTGTGCGAGGTTCGGTTTTTCTACTTCCTTTCCATCATTTTCTGCAGAGTGTCAAACGTACTCTAAAACTCCGTGCGATAATTTTCCAGTATTATCTTTGTCCCAATGTGACAAAATACGCGTCGAGAATATCATATAAAATGTCGCACGATAATAATTAATCGTATTTTCGCGAATAAGTCTCCATAAATTGTGTTCCTATTGAAAAAAAAGAGGAGAAGGCTTAGAAAGGACATCAGACGCCGGCAACTTTGAGGTAAGTCCTATATAATTAATTATATTATATATTACTAACTAATTTCAAAACAGTTTTTTAATTTCTTATTTTCTTAAATTACGTCAACGGAAAAATTATGTTACACTTTTTACAATTCG